ATTAGGTCCACTGTACAGCTCCCATGAGAAACAAACGCCAATAAACATAACCTTTCACCACATCGTGTTTCAGAAACAATTACAAAAATGGAGTAAAACAGCCTTTGCCCCAGTTTCTTAAGAGCACGATCAGCAGCGGATCTGCAGACTCAGAGCCTTTTGCAGGGCCTGTTCCTTAGATAAAAGCTGTATTTTTAGCTTGTACATTTCTTAGGTTTTCTTCAGAGAGGAACCCCCAAAAGACATTAGTAGTTTTCACTGTCTAACTATGACTATTTCTTGACCTCAAAGGGTCACTACATATTAAAACTTAATTTAAAAATTACTTTATTACTCTTCTACACTTACAGTTACTCCTATACGTGACGCAAATACCATCCAGCCACCACCCACGCAGGAATGAAATGCCATCGCATAACCAAGGAAAACAGGTGCGAACTGACACCTGAAAATATCCCCAGAGGTGCTGCTGGATAAATTCAGGATAAAAACCTTAAGCAAATGGCGCTCAGGAGCAGCACCTTCCTTGGCGGGGAGGGCCGGGGCTGTGGCGGTGGCCAGGAACGGCACACACAGCCCCCAGACCAGGAGCCCGGCAGCTCCCGGAGGGTGGTGCCAGCTGAGGCGGCCCCGGGCTGTGGCCGAGCCCGCCCTGCAGCCACGGTGACCCCCGGTTCTTCACTCCCTCCCGCGCCTCCCTCACTCACCCACGGCCGCCGCACTGCCCGTCCCCCGCGCCGCTTCCGGAGGGCGGCCGGGCCGACCAGCGCCGCCCCTCCGGGGGCCGGGCCCGGCTCCTCCTCCCGCCGGTGCTGCCGGTACCGACACCTTCCCTGTGGGGGCCCGCCGGTACCGGCACCGAAACCTTCCCTGTGCCCCTGGCCCGGGGCCCGCCGGCACCGGCACCGAAACCTTCCCTGTGCCCCCAGCCCGCGGCCCGCCTGCACCGGCACGGACACCTTCCCTGTGCCCCTAGCCCAGGGCCCGCCAGTACCGACACCGACACCTTCTCTGTACCCCTAGCCCAGGGCCCTGCAGCTCCGTGGGGCGTGTGCGAGGGGCCGGTGCCACAGCGCTCGGCATCCCCCAGCGCATTGGGGAGTCCTCTCCCACGGCCTCAGCTGCTTCTTGGCTGCCTCAGCGTGCTGCCGGCGTAGCTGGTTTCAAGCTGAGACGAGAAAATCGGGCACTAGAAAATTTTTGGAACAGATTGCCCAGGGAGGTGGCAGAGCCGCCATCCTTGGAGGTGTTTAAATCTGATAATGTGGTTTAGTGGTTTATAGAGGTTACAGTGGTTAATGAGGTTGGACTTCATGATCTTAAAGGTCTCTCCTCACCTTGCTGATTCTGTGAAGGTGTGAAATAATAATATTACTGATGTGAGCGTCAAAGTGCTCATACCTCTGAGGGCAGATACTCCCAGGCTGCTGACAATCTCAGAGGGTTTGGATGCAGCTCCTGACCCCTCAGAACAAGGCCCCTGTGAGGGATGCTGCTCCCCTGACCTCCTTCAGCCGAGACTCTGCTTCCAGGAAGGCCCCAAAGTCACTGAGCCCTGAGCTTGCAATGGGATGAATTCCAGCCAGGACAGCTTTCCTGACGATTGAGGAAAACACAAGTGACAGCATCAAATTTGCTTTCACTTATTAGCACAGCATGATCAGAACAGATAACCAAACATTAAGTAATTTTACCTAGATCTGCAGATTTGGGTTAGGATTGGATCTGTGTCACCTTTTTGTCCTACTGAAATATTATTATTTCATTTTTCAAACAAAATCTCAAACTTTTTTTTTCATGGGTGGCAATAGAGGGTTTCAGTGGGGCCTGTAAATTACAAAATGTTTTATAGTGAAGCCTGTAAGGAAATACCATAAAAGCCTGGAGTGCTCTTCCAGGTTCTAACACTGATAAACACAATACACACAAGATGTGAAAAAGTAATTAAAAGAATTCCCAGGGGTATATGGATGTGTTAGGTGGCTTGTCAGGCAAAACCTTTTATTCTGGATACAGAAAACCTGAAGTCAACTGTCAGGTTTAGCACTGCTCTGGCATTTGACATTGTGCAAGTTCACCTCAATGCTTTCCTTCTCCATCATCAACTATGGGATGATCACATTGACCTTTGCAAGGTCTCTTGAGATCTACTGATGAAAATTACTGGGTGAGTGTATGATCATCATTCTTTGTACTCCTGCTTCTGAAACACAATAATAGATTGCAGTTATTACCTTGAGACATATAAACATAGAATGTATTAATGTTTTCAGGTGCAGAGTTGTTATTTAAAGCAGTTATCTGGTGACTAAATAGACAAATTATACAAATCTCTGTTACATTGAAATTGGTAAAATGCATGCACATTAAATGTAATGTATTGTTCTTTTTGGCACTCTGTTTGAGTCTTACAGTATAGACTCGTCACTGTGACCAAAGACTGTTTAGCTTCTAGGCTCGATTCTCATTTAAAATCTGTAGATGATAATCTGCATACCTTCAGCAGCAGTCACGTCTATGGGAAAAAGAAAGTGTCCATAGGCTTAAAACTGAATGGTGCTTTTTACTGATTTTTTTTTTCTATTTTTAATACATATGGGAAGTAAGAATAAGTTCAGAGTCATTTAAAAAGCCTTTTAGGAGGCTACACAAAAACAGTACACTGCAAGAATCTGTGAATAGTAGATTTGATGGCCATTTTGACTCTTCCTTTTATTCTTGTGTCTACTTTTTGTTCTGCCTAAACTAGCTTGGTTATTGTTGCCCCTTCTAGACCCTGTCCTTGGGGATCAGTGTATAGCTCCCATTGTTTGTCAAACTTGAATAGACTGATCCCAGGCTCTGATTCTGCATCCACTTGAAGAGAGTGGTACTGTCAGGGCAGAAACTCTCTTGGAGGAGGCTAAAATACAAGCAGAAGCTTAATGAAAGGATTGTAGAATTGTCCTGAGTTGGTTTCAAAAGCTAAAAGAGAAATAGTCCTGACATTTGTTTAAAGAGTTTGTTCTGGAAGAGAACAGAGTGCTGGAATGCACATTATTTGGAATGCATAAAGCACACTTAGATGGATTAAATATCTTTTCCCTGAGAGGTTTAAAAAATCAAGTTTAAAGGGGAGACATCATGGACCCTGACAGTTTTCTAGAGATGGGTTTTTGCCCAGATCCAGTTTGATTATCTCTACCTATTGTCTAGATGATGCAAGATATTTATTAGTAGATTTTGTAGCCTAACAAATGAGTGAGTAATTCACAACTGGTTACAAAATCATCTGATGGGCCCAATAAGTCATCCCAGTCCAGTAAATTGCATTTTTAATATAATAAAATGTGAGGAAATGCATCTGGAAATAAAGAATGCGGGGATGGGGCAAAAATGGCAAAAAGTACCTCAAAAAAGTATTTAGTTGTTACTATTTCAGTGTGACCTCTCAGGGTAATACTTTGGCAAACTGGACTACTCTAACGATTTCCTGTATAAAATACATAATATATAGGGGAGACAGGGGAGTGACACTGTCTTTGTCCACAGCACAGGGACACTGGAATGCTGCACCACTTCTGGCTCCCACGGTTAGGGAGGGAGGAAAACCACAGGAAATTATTCAAAGGAGGAACATTAATGAAGGGGATAACACGATATAAAATAGCGGCATAGGAAGCTCAAGCTATTCAGGTTACCCAAGACAAAGCCGAGAGGCGAGGATGGCAGCGCACAGACCAAACGGTGAGAAGGTCAAGCTAGACAAACCCATGCGGATCGCGTGCCAGCATTACCTGGCTGCCTGCACCTGACGGGCCCTCAGCCGCAGCATGTCAGCCACCAGCTGGGCCCGCCACCCCCGGGCCAACAGCTGTGCAAGGCGCCGTTCCCTCCCGAGCGCGGAAAGCCTCCAGCGGCGCAGCGGAGCGGGGGCGCGTTCCCGTGCAGGAGCTGACAGCGCGCTCCCGCCCCGCGCCTGTGGCCGCTCCTCCGGACACGCCCTCCGGGGCGGAGCCACCGCGTCTGACGGACAGGCCCGCGGGCCAATGGCGCGTGGCGCGGCCGGCAGCGCGCGGCGGCGGGGCGGGGCCTCGCCAATGGCGCTCCGGTTGCCGAGCGCGATGGCAGCGGCGCCGCCCAATGGGAAAATTCGCGGCGCGGGAGGCGCGCGCGCCGGTTCGCGTGCGGCCGCAGGCGGGCGGTGCGCGGCAGCGGGGCGTGCACGGCGCGCGCCCCCTCACGCCCCCTCACGCCCCCTCACGCCTCCCGCCCTCTTGCCCCCAGGTGCGAGTGTTGAGGAATGTGCCCCGCTTGGAAAAAATAAGCAAATAAATAGAGAGGTGGGCGGGCGGTGGCATCATGGTCTGGGCCGGGCAGTGCGCTCCCGTCTCCCCGCGGGCCGCTCCGGTTGTTTTCCGAGCAGTAGTTTGGGGAGGGCCCGCGTTTTCTAGCCGTGCCCTTGGACCTTTTTGCTGGAGCGGCACCGTCAGCGGCCAAGCCGGAGTGCGGGAGCGGGGACCCCGCGGGCCCGATGGCAACGAGTCCATGTGTTCTGTAGAGAAGGGGAATTCCCCTGTGTGCTCTAAATATCTCAGTAGAAAAGGTAAATGCAAGAAAAGGGTTAATGAGTACTTCCACCTCCCCCTCCTTCCTCCCCCACCTCCCCCCCCCCCCGTTGGATAAAGATGGTCTTGGATACCCTTTGTAAATAGGAATGTGGAGGTGGGAGGGGAAAATCAGCCCGGCTCCGACTACTCGGCTGCCTCGGTGGGTGAGCAGGCGGGAGGAGCTGGTGCAGCCCGGCCGCTCTCCCGGGGAACGCGCGGGGGACGGACGGGCACCCGCGGGGCGGGCACGGCGGGAGCGGCTCCTGCGCGGGGAGCGCGAGAGGAAGACAAGAGGCTGAAATGCTGCCCAGTGGCTGCCCAGCGGTTTATTGAAGAGTTGGGGGGTTTCCCCTTTTTATTTTATTTTTTTTACATTTTTTTCTTTTTTTTTTTTTTTTTTTATTGTACGCCGCCTCCTTGAAGCCAGTAGCAGCAAGGAAAATAAGCTGAGGACAGAGAAATAAGACGGAGATGGTGAGCAGCAGAGATCGCTGGGCTGGGGGGGAATGAATGAGGTTGCCGGGCTATTTTCTGTGAGGTTCTTGTAGGGTGTAGTACGTTTTGGGGTGATTTTGCATCACGATTCCGGGCTAGACTTCTTTGTTTGCTAAAGGTTGCTGGTTCAGGTTTAACAGCGTTCATCAGTTTATTGTGAGATGCGCAACGAGGAGTTGATGTATGCGAATGCCCGAATTACATACGCAAGCCACACACACAAGCAAGCCCTAAACAAACCAACATTGTAATAATCCTGCAATATGATGGGCAGCTCGTGTCATGGAGGGAAGTCATTGCTCAGGTTATTTGTGGCATGCATAGGAGATGAGTCTCTTTGTAGCAAAGACCAAACAAAATTAACCTATTTTTTTCACACACGCGACATCCATTACAGACTTAAAAGCCAGAGTTAGGGGTTATTTTTTTTTAATTTTCGCTTTCCCTGCAGCATTGAGGTCCACGGTTAAAATCTGACGTTTGTAGAAGTTGAAAAACTCTTTGAAATGTTCACTTCTAGTGAATATGAAATAGTAAAGACTGTCTTTCTTGCTTTTTCTCTTTTTCTTTCATGTAGGCACTTGTTTGTGTATGTGAAAGGGGGAATTCTTAAAACATGCACTTCGCTTGTTACGCTGTGCTGTTGTGCCTTTAGGTAGGTCACAATGCAAAACGTGATTCATAGCATGTTAAAAAACAAAACCCTAAGCAGATTTTTTTTATCAAGTGAAGACCTTTATCGTACCAATAGCTTAAACCCTAAATACAAGTTTTGCGGGGGGGAGGCGGGAAACAGCTCTCCTGATTTGTATTAATGGGAATGCTTTATGGTAAAAAATCCTGCCTCTAAATGACAGAATATTGACATTGCCTGATTGTAACTTCCTGTGGATAAAGTACTGCAATCTGCTGAATACACTAGTCCTTTAAGGCTCTATAAATTTAGACATATTTTGTTTACAAAATTGTGTAGCACTGCATGGTGCAGTAGTAAAATCTGAAATTTTAGTGATTTTTAGAAATACTGCAAGACACTGCAAAAGAGAAAATATTCAGCCTTGTATTAAATCTCTTATGGAAAAAAAGGAAAAGGTTTGTTGTAATAAAGTAATACAGGGTATGCACAGTGACTAACTGCAGGGGCTGGAGAGTTTGGAGTTTGTATAGAAAAAATAAGTTGTGAACTGTGCTGGGGTCTTTATCCTGCTAGGTATTTGGATGGATGATTCTTTTATTTTAAGCAGCATCTCTGTCAGTTCTGGTCTGAAATATTTAAATTATATCCTCCATTAGGCAAATGGGTTTATCTTCCCATTGCTTGGCCAAAGGAATGCATTAGGAAGGCAAGAACAATAGTTTCACTGCATGGTTCATCCTTGTGCATTGTTCAGAGATCATAGTTTGCATTTTATATGACATTGGTGATCTTTATAAAGTGGACTTGCTTTGTTTTATTATTGTGCCATAGTTGCAGTCAAATAACTGAATTTCAATTTATATAACCATAGTTTTGATGTTCTATTTGGCTAACAAATAATTCCCTTCTTTGAATTTCATGTCTTAAATTCAAAGTCTCTGCAATTGATTTCAGTATCAGAAAGTTTTTAATATTGGAAGAACCAACAAGAGCTACAAATAGAGGGAGTTTCCCATTTTATTGAGATAGGACACTGTACTAGAAATGGCAAAATTCTTGCCTCTTGCTTATACTTCAAATTTTGTACAAACTGTAGTTTAGATTAGATATCTTGTCTTGAAGACCATCTGTATGCATATTACAGTTATATAAAACTAAGCTTCTGTACTTGATTTTATGTAATGCAACACATTATATCTGCAGTGCTTTTGGTGGATCTTGGGTAGTGTCAGAATTGATACACTGCAAGGAAAACCTGTTAGAATTCTTGTGCTGCCAGGTTTATAGTTTGTTGCTCTTAATATTTTATTGTGTGAGTATAAATCATTGACACAGACATTGTAAACAAATGCTGTAGCAGCTAAGTGTGATTTTACATTTGGCTTGTGTGTTTCTAGTTTAACCAGAGTATGAGAGTATTCTGTCAGATGTGGGGGCATCCTAATGGCCATCATAGTTACCTTCAAAGCACTTGGGTCATTTCTTTTACTTTCTTGGCTGTCTCTACAGAATAAGGAGGAAAAGGCCAACTCTAGGGTTACACCAATATGGATAGGGAAGGAATTTCACATGTGTTGCATGCAGTTTCCTTATTCAGACTTCATGTGTATCTCCTGGAAATTAGCAAAGATTAAAATCCACCTATTTCTAGAAAAAATGTTCTTTCCATAATTCAAGACATTTAGAGTATACATGTAACTTGACAAACATATTTTCTTCACAGAAGGGCATTAGAGGTTTCATGGGTTTAAGCATTAAAATAAGAACAGGAAGATTTTCTTAAATTTCAGGTAGGATGTGGTCTACCTGAGAGCTGAAGCAAAGCAGGTAACCACCTTTGAGCATCTGAGTAAAGAAACAATCACCTTAGATAATGAAGTGGCTTTTATTTCCTTCAGCTAACTTGTGTAAAACAAAGCCAACCCCAGAAAACTGCAGTGCAAGTGTTTTGTTCCCTGTTTGTCCTTTTCACTCCTATCCTTGCATTTCACAGGCACTCCAAAACAAACTGAAAAGCTACTTCTGGTGCAGTCTGCTGAGCTTCTAGAGTCTACATCTTCTCCATTAGCTTAGGTCACATTTGTTTTAAGCAGTATTTAAGAGAAATAGCTAATTCTAGTAAATTCAGTTCTTTTTGTGACTGGTTTTGTCAACATTCTAAGAACAGACAGCTTAATTTAGTAATACCCAATCTTTTGAAAGCCTGACAGTCAACCCTCTGGCATTCACAATTTCAAGTAGCATTTGGTGTGTTGTCTGTAAATGGGCTAATCATTTAATAGTAAGTGGACAGCATCTATTACTCATTAATTTATTTACAGTGATCAAACAATATTTTGGAGTCCTGATGAAACTCATTGATAGCCCCTGTTTCAGGGTAGTCTGACATTTTGACCCACCAAAACAAATGCGTTTCTTGGAATATAAGTTAATCTTGTAGATTAAAAAATGTGTAAGATACCCAGTAGGAATGTGTATATGGGTGGCATATTTAAATATTTTGTAACAGGTTACTTTATCCAATTCTGTAAAAATTGACACTGCATTTGTATGTATATATATATATACACACATTTATAAATATTTTGCTTTGTAGGTACATGGGTTTTGTTCCATCTTGATAAACATTTATGTGAAAGCTATTTTGGTTTGATTCTGCAAGTCTTAATGCTCTGTATAATCAACTGATGTTAATTACCATGAGATAAGTTGAGTGATTTTTGACTATAGTCACATACATATTTTGACTATGTATTTAGAAAGAGTAAAATTGTAATATTCAGATCACAGGTTCCAGACTAAGGGGTCCAAGAAGGTCGTTCTCATCCACCTCTTGCATAGTGGTGATGCTGCTGCTGGCAGTATTTCAAGGTACTGAAATCCATTGAGAACATATGGGCAGGGTTGTGCCTCTGTCTCGCTCTCCAGTTTATGTTTCACTGGGAAGACCTTTCTGTTCCTGAGCTGCATGCAGTATGCTTCATCTCTTCAGATATGATGGTTTTCTTAGACAATTTGGGATTTTTGTTCCATAAGGTCCTTGACTGGGTTGTCAAAATCTTCTGTGCATGCTTCAGTTGCTGTTATTTATAGTTCTGCTTTTTCTGCATCTCAGAGCACATGCATTTTGTTTCAGGAGCTGCGACAGGGTTTCCATGAGATACCGTGCAGATAGACACCAGTGCACCACTAATCTATGAGCTTCTGATTTGTAGGTCAGGGAGGAATTGAGATTTTGCTATCTAAGCAGTATCACCTCTTTGCTGCTTCAGTGCTTACGTGACATCTCAAGTTGGCTGAAAATTAAAAGGACACTGTCAAGGTATCTTTGACAGTTTCATTTTTATTATTTATTTTGTTTGCCTTGTTACTGCTGTCATAAGCCATTGGAAACATGAAATCTAATGTCTTAGCAACAGGCCTTTGTCCTCCAGACCAGGTACTGTTTAGCTGCTTATGGTTTATTTAAGAGTTGTGAAGCATTTTCTGTCTTCTGAAATGCATTATGGAATTACAGCTTAAACATTGCAAGCAAGTGAGAGGGAGGAAGTGAGTAAATCAGTTTGGGGTAGGTTCTGACATTCTGTCATTAGAGCAATCTCAAAATATTTAGTATTTTCCTTGTCTTTTCAGAACCTAGTAATTTGGAGTCTAGAATTATGCATCAGTGCTTCCTTTGCACTGTTATCCTTGTGAGTGGACTTTTCAGGGGATTGGTGCCAAGACCTGCATTCTGGTTGGAAATAGCTGGAACTACCTGGTGAATAATCTGTATAAGAATTCTTACAGGTGAAGTGATATTGACTGATTGAGGTGCTGAGCAGTAGATTTACAGGAGCTGGGCTTTGTATATCACAAATGCCTTTTTTATGCTCTAGGCTTAGTTACCTTCCCCTCTTATTTCTGCTCTCATAAAAAGAATGATCATGGGGGTTTTTTGTACAGAACAATGTTGCCCTAACTTGTTCCTGTATGGAGAAGTCTTTTGTTAACTTATGTACATTGATTGCAATGTAAAGTCAGTGAAACTAGACCTACTGTTTCCACTTATTTAACTGCCTCTTCTTCATCTGCTCTGGTGGTGGAAATTCTACCCATGAGTTAGAATACCTCCATGGAACCTTCTTGTTACAGTAAATGTTCTCTGTTTAATTTGGGTTATGTAGTGATAAAATTTTTAGTAACTGCTATTCAGACCAGTGATAGAAGTGATGGCACAGACTTTTTTACTGGAGTATCCTGTTGGTGAGAAACTGTATTGTGATGTTTCACTATCACCAATGTCCATGGCTACTGGATTCACAGCTTGATGAGAGCTGAATGGATATAATGATATTGGATA